AAAGCTACTGAAGTCTTGTTTTCAAGAGTGACTTTAGCATTAGGGCACCTCGACTTCATTACAGTCAGGCAGACCTCCAAGGTAACATTCTCAAAAATAGTTACATCGATGTCATGTAACTACATGGTTTTGCTGCCTGTGAAAAAATGTTTCTATTTAATTGAAGTGATTTAATTTGGTCCTAGAGCTTCTGTGAATGTTCCTAGCAATGTTTTAAAATAGCCATTTGTTTCTTCTTACAAATTGAGGATTTTTGTAAGGGTGATTTAGTGGAATCTCTTGGTGAGAACAGAAGCATCTTCTGCAGCTTTCTTGTCTCCCTGCTAATTCTTGGTAGATAAAGCTAATGATAATGCTAATAAACTGGTTTTCTTTGGTACATTCAGATATTGGGCACCTGTAGCTTGGGCCCTGAGAGCTAGTTACTTCTGAGCAATTTTACAGAGTTTGTATTTAATTAATAAGTAATTTGATTCTTTTCCTTTTTGACCTCTACCAAGTGATAACAGCCTATCTTTCAGAAAGTCAACTACGAGGCTTTCTTTTCCCCAGCAAGTACAGAACTCTAGGCCTGGCAAAGGGCCAGAGCACACAGGGACAATGTTCCACAGTAACATTTTGTACCTCATTAAAAAAAATAACAACAACAACAATAGCCGACTCGCACAACGTGAAATAAAATACCTTTCTTCTCCTCCTCCCTTTGTTTTAGAAATATTCATTTACTCATCATACTTCCCATAAAAATGCCTGCACACATACACATTCACACTGGATTTTTCTGCTGAAGAAATGATGTGTTAAGATGTCCTGTATTATTTTTATGAATCTAGTTTGGCTTACATCAAGCTGCTGTGAAAGATCCCCCATCTCAAGGTCTCTATGGCAAGGGATTTCTGGGTGACTGATGGTTTGGATTACTTCAGTTTGGGGGTGCTTCTCTTTAAAAAATCCCCAGAAACCCATTGCTTCTGTGTTCACTCATACTGAGTACCTCAAAGTCGAGAGACTGCTAAGTCACTCTGGAAAATACTGGCCTGGAAGACTTCACCCATCTGTGCAAACACACCACAATCCAATTAAACTGGCAGACTTTGCAATTATTTGCAGATTTCCACAATCTGGCAGCAGCAAGCAGATACAGCCTGTGTTGCATAAGCGACTTGTCGCAAGCCCGTGTGCCCCATGGCCTGACAGAGCTCCCCAAAATCCTGGAGGAGGAGGAGTGGGCAGCGTGGTGTGTCCTGCAGATGAGCACACACCAAGGGATGGGCTTCAGTGCCAAAAGCATCCCCTAGCTGAGCTCCTGGCCCCAGAAGGGCAGGATTAAATATTACACTTTACTGCAGCATCCCCTCCACAGCTACAACATCACAAAGCCAATTTGAGAGGTTTCCATCCTTTGCCACTTATTCTTACATCAGCTTTAAGCAAGGTCTTTAAAATTAAACTGAAATGTAAGAAAAGAAATTAACAAAAATAAGAGGGTTGTGCAAGGGAAATAATCCAGATGATTTTGCAGCCGTGCTACAAACTGTTGCACTTTTACCACTGACAAAAAGGGAGGTCAAAAAGTGGCCTTTTCTGAGGAAGCAAAGAAGATGCTAAACTCAGTAGTAACCACAGGACTACTTCCCCAACCTGTGTCAGCACAGAGCTAATGTTTGTGCTAGCAGAGGGAGTGAGGCTTGGAGAAGGGGTGAGCTGGATGATTTCTGTGGCAGTGCCCCATAGAGTGTTTGTAGGGGATGGGATTCCCTCTGCCAGACAGATTAAGATGCTCCAAGGCTCAAAAGTACTTTGAGCACTCAAAGATACTTTCAATCCAAAGAAGCAGTGTGTTTGAAATTAATCACATTAGTCCAAGCTTCAGGCTAACTTCTTAAAATCTAGGCCTAGACTCTTGTAAAAAGCCCACCAAAACAAAACTCCTTCAAAGTAACTTTTTTCCTGCCATCACCATTTCCAGCTGCACATTTTCACCCTGGCTTCACCTTCTCCCTCAGTTGGGTGGATGCTCCTCTTGGGCACGGTTTTAGCTAGGCCTGGGAGGTGCCTCAGGTTAAATTAGTAATAAAGGGTGGAGTTTGTTTAATATTCAGTGTGGCTCCCAGGTCTGGTTCACAGCACAGCCCCACCACAGCGGTGTTGGCAGGACCCCCAGGTCAGTACATGGTAGGCACTGAATCTTGGCCCCAGGTGCTCAGCCTTGGAGGGAATTCCCAGTCCTCAGCTGGTCCTACCAGCCGGTATTTCCATGCAACATGAGAGGGAGATCCCCCAGAGGAAATGAGACATTTTCACAAGCTGTGAGGTCACGATGTGAGTGGACCTGAAGCAGCTAGTGGAGCTGAAGCAGCACTTTGAGCAAGGATCCAAGTAGGTGAGCAGTAGGAAAGGCTGAGGTGGGAAGCTCTGGCCTGAGACCTGCTGCTCTCAAGAGCTGCTCTAGTAACCAGCCATGGAACAGCAAGGAACACTCGGCTCTGCACAAGCCCAAAACCCACAGGAGGAGGGGATGAGGGAAGTGAGATCTCTTTAAACTGTGGAACCCAGCCTGTGTGGGAGACCCATCTCAGCTGGGTGAGTCTGCACCATTTCAGCAGCCTTTTCTCTCAAGATCTACAGCCATGAAGATGCTCAGACTCCTCTTTTTCAGAAACGAGGAATCAATCCCTTCAAATCATGACTGTGTCCTCCCCCACAGCACAGAGCTCATCCAGCAGCTTCCATTTCAGATCCCACCTGCACCCCAACCAACAACTCTCCCAGGTCATCCAGCCTGGGGATTGTTGCTTGTCTTTTGGGGTTGTTTCAAGTTCAAGGCCTAAACCACAGGTCTTTTTAAAATTTATATATATACATATACATATATATATATATATATATATATATATATATATATATATATATATATATATATATATATATATATATATATATATATATATATATAAAATAAATTCTCTCTAATTCTTTTGTTCTGATATTTATTTGTGTCATGCAAAATGAAAATATTTCACTAGAGGAGAGCTAACAGGCTCTAAGATGAGCAGTTCAATAGTCTTCTCTGAACATCCATTTAAAAATGGATCCAAGTAGCATGACGTTCTAGCCATGTGGTGTAGGCACCTTCATAGAAATACATGTTTTTTTAAAATATATATATATATATATATATATATATATATATATATATATATATATATATATATAAAATAAATTCTCTCTAATTCTTTTGTTCTGATATTTATTTGTGTCATGCAAAATGAAAATATTTCACTAGAGGAGAGCTAACAGGCTCTAAGATGAGCAGTTCAATAGTCTTCTCTGAACATCTATATATATATATAATAAATTCTCTCTATTTCTTTTGTTCTGATATTTATTTATGTCATGCAAGATGAAAATATTTCACTAGAGGAGAGCTAACAGGCTCTAAGATGAGCAGTTCAATAGTCTTCTCTGAACATCCATTTAAAAATGGATCCAAGTAGCATGACGTTCTAGCCATGTGGTGTAGGCACCTTCATAGAAATAAGAGAGAAAATAGATGGAAAAGCAGCAAAGTTAAAAGAAATAGTTCCAGTTGTGGATAACACAACTCAGACTTTTAATCTTGAGGCTGGGATTTGCCTCCATTATTGCTGATACATCCCCCTTTCTCCTTATTCCTATAGAGTATCTTCTTGCCAGCTCCTGCATTGTAGCCACATTTCTCTTCACAGAGAAAAACAAGGCACAATTCTTCCCAAGAATATTTCTGAGATTCACATTCTCTGAACCTCAGAGAATGGAGGACAATTCTTATCATTTGCTGTGCCTGTGTTTGTGCTAAAGTAGAATGCAATATGGAGATTGTTTACCCAAAGTGATGGTGTTTTGTTTCCTTGGCCAATGTGTGTGTGTGTGTGTTGGGACTGATGGCTGGCAGTCACAAGATGAGTGTAGTTGTGTGCAGAGTTGAGTGCTTGGCAGATTCAGTTTAGTTGTAATGTAATATAGTGTGATATAATATAGAATAAAATAGTATAATAAAGTAATTAATTAGCCTTCTGATAAGATGGAATCCTCCTCATCATTCCTCTCCTTCGTCAGGGCCTCCCCAGCAAAGCTGTACTGCAACACTTTCTGGGAAACTGAACTCTTCTGGCAAGCAGATCTCCTAGTTTGTCAGCTTTCAAGTCCATGGAGGTGAAGAAGTGTTGGCTCATCTTTTCTGGGGCAGTTTGCAGAGGTCTATGGAAATCCCAGCTATCACAGAGCACAGGGTCCGAGTCACCTCACTGTAGCTGTGGAAAATGGGATTCCTCATCTGAACGACTCATTTTCCCACAGGACGGAGCACCATGAGAAGACAAGTCATCCCTCTTCTGTGGGACACCAGCTGGGATAGGTGAATCACCCTCTGGATGTGCCTGTGTCTCCTTGTGGGCTTCAGAAGGTATCTGCACATTGAGCTCAGACTGGATGTGAGCTTCTATCAGCCCGATTTAAACGAGTCTTGCCCATAGTGCTGGCATCTCCCCGAGCTTTCCATTTGCAGCAGCCCTGTAACAGATGCTGAGAATACATTAAATGCTTTCCTAATGTCACATTCCCATGTCTGCAATCATGGTAATTGCCTCAGTGGAGTTTTGCAATTGCAAACGAGCAGGAAGCCATCTGCAAAGGAATCTGTCTGTTAAGATGTGGCCCCTACTCTGGAAGTGCTTGAAAAGCCCCAGCACATTTCTTGGGCTTAAGATAGAAAATAAAAAAATAAATTTAAAAAAAAAAGTCAGACTCCTGCAGCAGTATGGAAAGTATCCAGAATATACTCCAGTGATCCAAGGAATAGACTGACTTTTGCTTTGGGACTGTGCTAATTAAATACTGCTAACTACATCTGAATAGAATTAAGTCTAATTTAAGGCCCTTTCTGAGCTCCAGGGCAATGTAGGCTTGTCCTAAAAAAAGAAATTACCGACTGCTGACAACAGGTGTCAGCAACAGGAGCGGCTGAACCGGGGCTGAATGTGAATTAGCTGCAAGTGTAGACAAGGACGAGCTAAGTTCAGCAGTGTTGCTGCAGCCACCATGAGACCTGGCTGGAATAAGGGATAAACCTGGGGAGCAGAGCAGGTAGGAACCAGAGCAGTCAAGGGCGCAGCTGCTCTCATCAGCGTGTGCAGATAATCAGTGCAGATGTAATTTTCTGTGGCATAGATAAGGTTTGTTTTAGCACCACGCATGCCAAAAGCACCTTGGGTTCCCATAGGAATGCTTGGGTGGCAGCCAAGGGGAGTGTTTTGCAATGAGTACTTTGCTCCCTTCCTCTTACTTCTCCCCCCTGCCGTGCACTCCGCAGGAGTTCCCCCAAGGAGGGATCAGGTGTTTTACTTCTCTTTTCCATGTATATCCATATTAAGTCAAGCAGGAAAGGTGCTACAAGGGCCTTGGACGAACCAGAGCAGGACTGGCCCCACCAGTCCTGTGCTGGCAGCTCTTCCACTGCCATTTCCTGCTGGCTCCTCCACTGTTTTTCTCATCATGTTTCTTTAGCAACATCCCATGTCTCTTCTTCTCCCCCCTTGCTCTTTTGCTTTTGAATATACATTTATGATGGGGGATTTTTCCATGCCCTTTCTCTGTAATTTATCCCATATGTGTATATGACTCTTCCCATAAAAAGCTTTTGACCAAGTCTGTCTTTGGTTTTCATGTTTTGGCTTTATTTTTAATAATTTTTGCTGTCATGCTCTTTTTCTCCAGTGCTCTCAAGCCCGGGCCTGTTTAACCCTTTCAGCCTTCCTGACCTCCACAAGCACAAACATCAGTTCTCTCTCCATATTCTGTCATTCCCTCTCCATCAAGGAAGCAAGAAAAACAGGTTTGTGGTTGGTATTTGTTAACAGAACAAAACCAGCAGGTTAAAATTCCTCTGGGCTTGTTTTTGATTTGGTAAAAAGAAGGGGTAAGGGCAGGACTGAGGGCTGAGGACACACACCCAGGCTCCCACCTGAGCTGAGTGGGACACCTGCTCCTCCACAGGTATGGGGAGGGGAAAGGCAGCAAATCCAGACTCAGTGAAAGGAAGGGCAGTTTCATCCATTTCAAAAGAGTCACACCCACCCCAGATTAACACCCCTTTTTTAATTTACCTTCATACCTCCTGTTAGAGTAATTTATCTTCCAAGTCACGTTACAAAATGAAAGCTTTGCCAGGGGTTAAGGGTGTTGGACCAAGCTCATAGGCTTTCCCTGCTTGTAAGTGTTCAGCGCTTTCACACAGGTTAGATTTCCTGCAAAGGAAGAAAAGACAATTTCTGCTCCTGATTTGTGACAAGGCTGTAGAGTGGATCCACACTTGTGCCCAGAATAAGAGCCTTTAATACTGTTCAAGAAAAACAATTGTGCATATGCCCAGCTTTCCACTGTAGCAAAGCAGACTTATTGTGTTAGAAGGGCTTAACATTGCCTTCAGAAAGCTGTAAAAAGCAAATTAGAATTGTTGATAGTGGGCAGGAGCTGGGACAGCCATTGGTGTCATTGTAGAACAGCTGCAGCAATTTTTTGTACATCCCACCTCAGGAAGGCTTAACTACTGCACCTTTTCCATCTCCACTTTAGGAGTTGGGGGCATCTGAACAAGGAGCATCAGAAAGATTCTCTGAGGGAACTAGGCTGTTGCTAGAGGGCCACTGGATTCTCCTTTCCAATAGAATATGCCAGGATATGTAGATGAAAAGCCCTCATTTGGAAAGGATGAGTCTGAACTCATTTGGGTCTGAACTCATGCAAATTGACCAAATATGTTTGTTGACTATAAATCCAATAGCAGAAAACTTTTCTAAGGTAAGACGAGCCACTTGGACCTGAGAGATCACCTTCCATGCCATATTTTACTCTATGTTGTTGCTTTTTTGTTGGTTTTGTTATGGTTAAAAAATAAACAAACAAACAAAAACAAACAAACAAAAAAACCAACCAAACAAAAAAAAAAACGGCACCTCAGATAAATTAGGGTGATTATCAGAGGCAACTCCACTGGAAACCTTTGGGAACTGGGATAATACACCTGATGGAAAAAACTGCTCACCCTTGTTTATTCTGACCTATCCCCTTGACAGCTCTTTGCTTTGTCCAGCAAGACACAGTGGCCAATCACCCCCTCCAAGACATTAATTTATTGGCATTTATCATAATCAATCCTCTCCAGGCTGTAAAATTAGGGAAGGTTCAAAGAACAAGCTCAATTAATGCTTGCGTAATGGCAAGCCATCTCATACTTTGGACCACATTTGTCACCCTTGACTGTTTTCCATTTCCACATGCCTTTTCCAAGCTGAGAAGAGCAGAACTGCTCGTGGATGTGGGCATACCACAGATTTGTACAGGGGCAGGGGGAACATTTCTGATTTCTGACAAGATTTCATTTGTAAAATGAGTCGAGGTCTTTGGCCCCTGCTGACCCCTGTTCCTGTGTTGCAGCCCACGACTGTTCCTCCGAGACAGTGGTGAGCACTTAGCTCATTGTTTTCCATGGGAGGCTTTTTCCCATATGCATCACTCTGTGTTTATGCTCAGTGACACTAATAATGTATCCGTGCTGCCCGTTCCCACTGAGCTGCTCACACGCTGCTGTGGAGAGCCCAGTGCTCCTGCACAGCTCCCTCTCCTTCTGGCAGCAGAGCACAGAGAGAGCTGCAGCCTCGAGGGCTGCCTTTCATCCAGCACCAAGCCAGAGGCAAGGAGGCAGCATGCCCAGCCCAGGATTGCAGTGGGGATAACTATCAAACACAGACAACCTCGGGTTCACACTCCCCCTCACCTCACACTTCACACACCCTCCTGCTCCTCACAGCCCAGCCAGAGTGAGCCACTCCTGGCCAAGCCTGTCAAGGCAGCTGCCTGCTCCTGGACTTCGCTCTCTGACAAAACCTCTCAGAAACAAATGGCCATGGCTACAAACCTTACATTTCCACCTTTATCCCATTACTCGGCCTACCAGAGTCACCAGTTTACTTAAATGACTCTTGTTACACACAAGTAATTTTTCTTGCAGTGTGCACCTCTTGTTGTCTCTTTAAGTCGAATGGAAAATCCACGGAAATCAGGCTGAGCAGCTCCTGATAGGGTCCCAAAACCCTTGCTCAGCACCACTCAGCTGCCGCAGTATCCTTAAGCACATGCACAGCCCCAGGACCAGTGCCTCCACTGGAAAGATGGGGCTGTTATTCCTTCCCCTGCTCTGGAGTGTTGTGGCTGGGGGATATCTCTGGCCACATGCAGATAGCCAGGCTTGTATAGAGAAACCAGAATTACCAGACACATGGCAAATCCAATAAGTTTTAAAAGACTTTTCATGGCTAGGCATGCCAAAAAGAGATGCTGAGATAGGACATGTAGTATTTGGGGTTGGTTTTAATTTGTGTCACAGGCACATGCTTTATTTGTGTGTAGAGTGACTACTCCGTTAATTTTTACAGTGCACATAAATATGAGTTACTTGGTACAGGATCCATTTTTCTTTCAATGTAAAACATGACAAATGAAAGAAAACCCATATATCGTAAGACATTTCATCTGTATTGTTTCAGAGTGATGCTGATAAAAGCCAAACAGAACACAAATCTGTATTAAATTATATCACCCCCATCAATACCTCCCCCTGTACTCGTGAAGTCATTAAAGTGATTTGGCGGGGAAATGTAAGCTTGGAAAATCAGTTTATTGATAGACTGCAGAGTAAAAAAAAAAAAAAGGCAGTGGCAAAAAGCAACAGCACCTTTTTAAAGTCATGATGATACCAAATGCAAGGCCAGGGTAGAAAAGTGTGTAGATCAAATTATGCAGATTTCAAAATATTTCAGACCATGTCAGCAAGAAAGCTGAAGAGTCCAGAACTGAGTTCCCAGGGAGGGCACACAAACAATGACTCAAAAAGGAAGCTTGGGAAATGTGGGGAAATGCTCAGTAATTATTTTTTCGTTTGTTTTGCTTCATTCAAAACAATTCAACAAGGGAACACGAAAGACAAAAATTAGAGCAAACAACAGTAAATTAGCTTAGCCTAGACTATGTTCATTATTTATGAACACCTACTACCTCTGCAAAATAAAACCAACAGGTTCCATGCAGACACATGGAATTTCTCTGGTGAAATACAGGGAGATGCACCTTAAAACCTGTGAGCAAAAGGGAGATGGGGCTTTTTAAGCAGCAGCCTGACTCACATTAAAATCAAGGAATTTTGACTTCAAAGGGAGATGGATGGAGAACAGTAGATTAGAAGGAGCTGCAAGCCAATGTTCTCCTTCAACCTCTCTGAATAAATTCCTCCAGCCCAAGGCCTACATTTCTTTACATAAAGCAAGTGTTTTGGCATTAAGGAAGGAGCAGAGCCCCGCAGAAGTTGTCCCAGGTGTAGTAGGTGTCAATCCAAACAGTGAGGAACAGGAAGGAAAAGACTAGGAGGAAAATGAAGATCACCAAGATAAGCTTTTCCATCACAAAGGTGGAGTGGGGGCAAGCAGCCACCCTCCACATCAGGAATTTTATGGCTGGGTGTGCAGGTGCCATTATAAAACCAGAGGTGCTGTGGAAGTGACAGCTCAGAGTGTGAAAAAAAGGGACTTTATGAAATAGAGGAAAGAGGCTACAGAGAGCAGTGCAGTCTGTATTCCTGAAGCACTAGGCAGGAACTGGCCCAGCCAACTCTTCTCTTCTGTGTGGCTGAGGGTCAGACCAGTGGCAAAGTGCAAACCAGTCCTAGGACACAACTCTTGGCAGAAATGCTCTTGGAACACTGCAGGTTAAATGTCAGTAGTGGTGGCCTTGCTTCAGCCAAGCCAGGGAACCAAATGAAAATATCTTTTCCAATTTATTTTCCACCTCCCTCCCCATTTGTCCCCAAACAGTAGCAGGAGGATCTTGCCACCCACATTTGCACTGTCCTTAGGAATGTGTGTGCCTATTTTAGGACAATTTGGAAACCCTTGGGAACATTCCTAATTAATAAACATACTTTCTATTTTCCTGTATTCCCCTGTGGATTTCCATCATCTTCCTTTGCCAGCTATTGTGTACAGAGCCATTCATGATCCAACAGCAAGGCAATCCCTGGAACTCCAGGAATCCTAACCTGGCATTAACCATTCAAGGGGGGAGTTATTCTTCAAAACTGAAGAGCACTTGCCTCTCCAGTCTGCTCTAGGCCTGCTGGTACAGTCCAGCTCTTTTGCTTGGAAGGCAGAAATAGAAGAACCTCAAAAGATTCTGCCCTGAAAACTCCGCAGTCTGTTGTCTGTACAGGGGACAAGGACAAGGAGGAACAAGTTCACATGAGTCTCTCGCTGTTTACTAAAAATACTGCCAACACGATGCTTCTGATAATTTTGTTTGCAGTACTGGTTTAGAAAGAGGAAGTACAGATGGGTGAGGAGATATAAAAAGACTTTGTTTTTCTTCTCCTTGTGACATGTTGTGTAACTACAGGCCTGGAGAGAGCTGCCAGTGAGGAGAAGCATCAGGGTCAGCTCACTCTTCCCAGGTGGTATCCAGGGAGAAAACAATGGTGCTCGCCTCAATATCCCTCCCTCCTGCCATCCTCTCTGAGTCTAGGATGAAGTTATGATTTATTTTTCCTGTCCTTGATTGTCACCCTACCTAGTCAGTTAACAAACTACACTCACTCAGTAGTCTTCTGTCAGGTATCAAAACTATTTTACCCACTATGATCTTGTGCTGAATGTAAATTTAAAAGATAGGGCTTCGCTGCATAAGTAGATCAGGTGATCTGATTTAGTTTTGTTTCAGAGTTAAAGTTTATATTTTTCCCCCCAAAAGTCAGAAGGCTTTTGAGATATTCTTTGGAGATATTCAAACCCA